GTATGTATGTATGTATGTATATATATATATATATATACACTTTTTATACCTAAAATTTCAACAGTAAGCTAATTATTTAATAAATTTTACTAAAGGGCTTTGGTGATTTTAAAAATATAACAGAAAAATGTCTAACTGTAATAAGTTATCAAAATTTGTTTCTTAAAATAATAAATTACATTGAAAAAAAAGCTTACTCTAATAAAGACGTTTTCTTCAAAAGAGGCAGGGTTGTCAACTTCTGTGAATGCTGGTGGTCCAGTACCCATGATCCTCCAGCGTGCATAGAGCATGGAGAGACCTCCAAGACTCATAAGGGCCAATCGTGTCAGCAAACCCATTCTCAGCATCTCCTTTAACTGCAAAAAAAAAACTTTAATAATCGTCACTTATTTTAAACATATCCGTTTTTGTTATTTAATGAAACCACTGTTTTATTAGTAACTACGTTGAAATTCATACAGGCTTGAATAGAAAGTGTATGGGATATACAGACCTATTCCAAAAAAATAAGACTAACATGGAAAAGCTGTTTAACTTCCATAACTCTATTCAAAAAGTTAATCTTTAATAGATGATAGATCCAGGGCCCACAATTTAAACAATTTCAAGTATTTATTAGTTTATTTTACATAATTTGGGCTTCCAGCTCATGAAACCCATGAAAACAGGAATTCAAAAAATTAGAATACTGTGAAGACATCAGACCACACTACTTCTCAGTTTTTGCAGAAAAAAAAAGAAAGAAATTAGGATCACAACAATTCAATCAAAATATGGTACTTTCAAAACGATATGTCAATCAAATACTTGATTGGGAATCCCTTTGCCTTAATCACTGCCTCGATGTGACGTGTCATTGAGGCAATCAGCCTGTGGCATTGACTGGGAGTTATGGAAGCCCAGATTTCCTTGATGCTTGCTGGCAGCTCTTCTTTGTTGTTGGGTCTGGTGCCCCTCATTTTCCTCTTGAGAATACCCCATAGATTCTCAATGGAGTTTAGGTCCGGCAGGTTGGCTGGCCAGTCAAGCACTGTGGCATGGGCATCAAACCAGGTTTTGGTGCTTCTGGTTGCACGGGCAGGGGCCAGGTCCTGCTGGAAGATGAAATCTGCATCTCCATACAGATCCTCAGCAGAAGGAATCATAAAGTCTTCTAAAACATTCTGGTAGACTGTTGCGGTGACCATGGATTTAAGAAAGCAGAGTTTACCAACACCTTCACCGGACATTGCACCCAAATCCTGGCTGACTGTGGATATTTCACATTGGACCTGTATGGGTTCTGTTCATCACCCTTCTTCCTCCAAACCCTTGGACTTTGATTTCCGAATGAAAGGCACACTTTACTTTCATTGGAAAAGAGGACCGAGGAACCCGACAGTTGTAGCTCATCTCCCGGATGCGTCTGAATGTGGTGTTTTTTGAAGCTGTGACTCCCGCCTCATTCCACTCTTTCTGGATCTCTGCCAGATTCTGGAATCTTCTCTGTTTGATAATCTGCTGAAGCCCACGGTCATCTCTTTTGCTGGTGCATCGTCTCCTGCCACATTTTGCCCTTACACTAGACTTTCCATTGCTATGTTTGGACACAGCACTCTGTGAACAGCCAGCCTCCTTAGCTATGAACTTTTGTGATTTCCCCATCCTATGGAGGGTATCAATGATGGTCTTCTGGTCAGTTATATCTGCAGTCTTCCCCATATTGAAACAAACTGAGACAATTGAACCAAACTGAAGCAATTTAATGACACCTGGGGAAACCTGTGCAGGTGCGTTGAATTTAGTAGGTCGCACACAGTTTAAAACATTCATGCCCTGCAAAATTTAGACTGATTTCTCCACAGTATTCTAATTTTTTTAAACCCTGTTTTCGTGGGTTTCATGAGCTGGAAGCCCAAATTATGTAAAAATAAACAAATAAATACTTGAAATTGTTTAAATTGTGAGCCCTAAAACTATCATATATTAAATATGAACTTTTTGAATGGAATTATGGAAGTTAATCAACTTCAATGATATTCAAATTTTTTGGAAAGGGTCTGTAATTTTGTGACATTATTCATACAAAGAGTTATGCTTTATGATAAGAACATAGAAGCTTGGTATATAAAGCATAACTTACATTAAGTGGATTTTTCCTAAAGATTAGCCGCTGGCAAAGTTCATACACGTTAACGTTACAAATGAGGAGGACATCAAAGGCTGCATTTATGCCCTGAGAAAAGATACAAGTATATACCGGTAGGTGATCAACAACAAGAATCTTAGACTCTTTTCATAAATGATATTGTTTTGAACATGAAAAAGATATAATTGGTGGATGGAATGGCTTCACAGGTAATTCAACTTTTAATACTGATGCAATTTTTCATTTTCTCTTATTAATAGTAAATGAGAGTAAATCAGCAATTCTAAAAACAAACAAAAAAGAAAATTCAAAGAAAATTTCATACCAGAACGGTGATGCCTTGTTCTTTACAAAGCATTGCTACAGCACACAATGCAAGGCTGATCACAACCCATTTTAAAGAGAAGCTGTCACTTCCTGACAAGACAGATACAAAACAGATTACAGCAGTCCCTCACTACTTTGCAGTTTGTTTATCGCGACTTCGCTATATCGCAGTTTTTCAAAGTAAGATTGGACATGACACAACTGTCTGATTGATGGATGAGCCATGGATTGTTTATTTAAAATAAATTATTTTAAACGATTTTGCACCGTGTGTGCAGCCCACAAGTGCAGGGGAAGCTCCCTCCTGCAGCTGATCAGCTGATTTCCTTCTCTGCCACACTTCTCCTGCTGCAGCCTTGTAAAGGGTTAACCTAGAGCTGGACAATAATTCGATACCGATACATCTCGCGATATATTTTTATTCAATAACGATGATATGAGTTTTAAGCACATTTTCGATATTTCGATAGGATTACAGCGTTTCACTGACACATTTCTTTTTCTGTTTGGGTTGAAGCGGTCACTTCAGTTTCAACCCGGACAGAAAAAAGTGCGACACAACTACGTAAGTGCATGGTGACGTAATGTTACGCAGAGCTCAAGTCTAGAAGGCGTTAGTGGTAGCAGGCTAAGCTAGGCTAATCTCCAACGCGCGTTAAGTTTTTGCTTCAAAATGAGTGCCAATGATCGTCAGAATTTGACTGAACAAGGTTTCACAAGCAAAGAGAAAGCAGATGACATCACTGATGAGAGAGAAAAGACTAATTTGCTGGTTTGGAAGTGGTTCGGCTTTTTAAGATCTGACAAACTGCAGGTTTCAGTCAGTGTGCTGCAAAATGTGACGGAGAGTCGTTCTAACTAGCGGTTGGAATATTTAACTTGTTCCACTTGACAGAATATGCTGATGAAGCACAATAAAAGTTTGAGCCAACGTGTCCCTGAAACACCCCCAGCGCTGCATTTTTTTTTAAATCATTTATTCATTAATTTAAAATAAAACAAATTCATCAAAAAGAAAAAGAAAACACTGAATGAAAAGATTGCAGAAAGAAGAAAAATATTATCATCTGCCCCTAATTTAAAAAATACAAAATAACTACAAAACAAACAACAACCTTGACTTGAACAATCTCCAAACTGAAAACAAAAAAACTTCAGGTATCCTTCACCTGGTACTATACTTTCCTAACAACTTTAACTATCATCTTTTTAAACATATAAATTGTTTTAGAATTTTTTATGGTGATAAAGACAATTCCATAATCCTGTTCCCTGAATTACATCACAGCTCCTTCAGAATAGTTCTAAATGGAGGTTTTACAAACATTTACATTCCCTTAAGGTTATTTTTACAAATTTTAATCGAATATTTGGGGCTAATATTTTTGAGCTTTATACGTGACTTGTAAAATACTATATTCAACCAAATCATAACATTTTAATAATTTCAATTGATGAAATAATATATTTGTTGGGTGACCATAGCACTTCATACTACTAATAATTCTTATAGCTCTTTTTTGTAAAAATAAAAATAGGATTTGTAATTGTTTTACATGCTTTTCCCCAAACTTCAGTACAATAGATTAAATATGGAACAATCATTACATTATACAATATATACAAAGCTTTGTCATTCAAAAACTCTTTTACTTTATACAGTAATGCAATTGATTGTTATTTTTAAGTAATTTACATGAGATTTTCACGTCAGCTTCTCATCAATAATGACACCCAAAAATTTTATTTCATTAACAACAAATTTCAATGCTGTCAATTTTAAAGTTGTTGTTTAAAGTTAAAACTATTAATATTGACAAAGTTGAGAATTTTATCTTGATGCATGCTCATGCTAATTGAGAATTTTATGTTTATTTGACAGTGATTTCAATTTTTTGAAGGCTAAATACAAATAAAAGGTGAACACTAATTTATTTGTATAGTTTGTAGTTTTGCTGAGGCTTTTATATTGTTTATATCGATATTGAATTATATCGTTATCGACCGAAATTAAGAAATATATCGTGATAAAAGTTTTGGGCATATCGTCCAGCCCTAGGTTAACCCTTTGCTGTCCAAATGCAACGATCGAATTTTGTCTTCCAACTTAAAATTCAAAGTATGTCACATTGTAAAATCATCATAATCACAAAATACAAAAGCGTTACAAGTTATTTTGAATTATTTTAGAATTTTTATGTTCAGTTGTTGAAGTGTAATTAAAGAAGTACATTTCTGCTCCGTGCTGCAGAGCTGAAGCTGTGCGACATCCGTTTGATGTCCTGCTGCACTTCTCTTCTCTACAATTTAAATGTAAATACAGTAATATTTTAAATAAACAATCCATGCTGTATGGATTGTTTATTTTAAATGTTACTGTATTCAATTTAAATTGTTTATTTAAGGAGGGCGATTGGGAGTAACAGGTGATGAGTGAGTGTGATTGCAGCCTCACATATCATGACAAAGTTTACTATACTTGAACTGAACTTAGACTACTGTATCCTTACTTGGCAGTTTTTCACTTATCGTGGGTGGGCGTGGTCCCTAACACCCACGACAAATGAGGGACTACTGTACAAACAGTTTGAGGTTCAAGGGAAGAAGGTGAAATAGGTGCATGTACTTGGAGCTACTTGGAATTGATACGTACCTTTGTTAAAAGCTCTACAGTAAGTGAGGAAAGAGAACTGAAAGAACAGCGTGCACAGAAGGTCGGCTCGGCCCACAATTCCTGCCACCTTATGAAGGAGAAAATAATAAAAAACGTCAGAGATTCAACAGTTTAAAACATACAGCATCAAAGAAAATTTAACTATCAAACAAACTTAAAATACCAGCATTTCTGTAGGCATTTGTGTCCATGAAATAAAGATTTTGTTATACTTGCATCATATTAGATTGTGAATCCAGTTACAACTGGAAGCTTAATAACAAAAGTAGGAAGAAAAAAAATGTGTTACCCACATGGCTTGGTAGTGTGTGTATACTGTGTACAGTGTGTGGGTACAGAATGGTTGGCATCCTGGGGTTGCTTGCTTTGATATTTACAGCAGGCCTAAGCTTACAGTCTGCTTCCCTCACGCCACCCCCACCCAGCTCTCATCCAGTCCTCACTCTGCATGATTAAAGAGAATGTAGAGGGAATTGCTGCCTCCCAGCCAAGCTTTACAGCAACAATACATATGCTGGCAGATCAATAAGCATCCGACACAGATAATAGTCAGGCCATGCTATGACATACACCTTGGCCCTGCACTACCAGCTGAGACAGGGCTTTGTCTAGGTATGGAAGCACTGAATGTTTAGTATTAAAACCTCTGGATTGGAAGGTCAAGATGCCATGGTGTTGTCATAAGGAATGCATATTGGTGAGGGTTTTTTTAGTTGATAATTTTTTTTTCATTGAACCTTTATTTATACAGGTTAGTCTCACTGAGCCTCAAAGACTCATTTACAAGAGAAACCTGCTTTAAACAAAGAACACAGACGAGGTACAAACAACAATAGACAATCATATACAAAGCATATAACATGAAAAAGTAAATAGAAGAAATGAAAAAAAAAAAAGAAACAAAAACAGCTACATTGTAAAGTGATGTAAAATACTAAAACTAGGAACATGTCTGTGTTGTTTTTTTATGAACTTAGCAGTTGTTTAAAATCCCTCAGAGAGGTCAAGGTCGAGAGCTTCAGATCTTGTTGCAAGGTGTTCCAGAAAACAGGAGCGGAGGAGAAGGCCCTTTTGCCAAGTTCGGTCCGCACTGAGTGTACACTGCCCTGAGAGTGCATGCTGTAGCTGCACTCACATAGTGACATGTAGGAGGAGCTGTAAGAAGGCAACAAACCAAGAAGTGATTTAAAGATGAAAATGTACCAGTGAGAGAGTCTGCATGAAGTTAATGATGTCCAGTTAACCAGTGAATGCAGGGTGCAGTGATGGGTACGGTAGTTACAACCAGTTATGAATCTTAGTGCACCGTTATAGACAGCATCCAACATCTGCAGGATGCTTTTCGAACCGTTCATGTAAATAATGTCATCATAGTCAACGGAGGGAAGGAAAGTCACAGTTACAAGGTGTTTCCTAGCATTCAGAGTTAGGCAGGATTTATTTTCTGAAAAGAAACCCAGTTTTCCTTTCAGTTTCTTTACCCAGTTTTCGACACGGGGCTTAAAAGAGAGATGCAAAGATACTAAAGTATTTATAAGAATCGACAAACTCAATAGGGACACCATTCGAAGTTACAATAGAAGGGAGGACTGCTGATACAGAATCCCTGTTTGAAAACAATATTCCTTTGCATTTATCAGAATTTAGCACAAGAGTGAGGCGGAACAAATACCAAATTTTTTTTCCACAATAAAATGTAAAAGAAAACAGTAATAAGATCTAAGATATGAACTAAGAAAAACATTAAAAAAAAAACCACTAAGCACAATAGCATAAAAACAATAAACACAATATGCCGAACATCAGCATTTGATGGTTTTCCAGAATCTTTTAGGATCATTTAGATCTTTGGAGGTCTGAGATAAGAAGTACCGATATTTACGTTTTGCAGCTTTGATGGAACCTGTACATTGATTCCAAAGCTGTCGAAAATGCAACCAGTGTCTGAACCAGAATCTCTGGCTCAGAGTTTGAGCTAAACAATACTGCACTGGGCTATACAGGTGCATAACTGGAGCTAACCCAGTTTGAATTCAAGAAAGAAAAAAAGGAAGAGCAACTTAAGAATATGAGTATAGCAGAAAATTATGCAAATATAAAAAATAAGAAAAAAAAAATCAAAAGTTCATGCTCAATAATCCAGGTAAAAAAAAAAATCCAACAAAGTTAGGTCAGGTCCTCTGGACGGTTTATTTTTGTTGAAAAGTTTCATCTTTCATCCAAAAGACTTAATCAGTCCAAGAAGCCGCAACAAACACAGTTTGTTGAGTTTGTTGTGGCTCCTTGGACTGATGAAGAAATTTAACTGAATTGTCTTAAGCACTAAGAAAAAGAGAGGGTTACTGCAACAAAACGTGATGTCTGATCAGGATAGTAAAAATAGTTAAAAAGTTTAAGCATCTCATAGGCAATAAATTAACCATGGTTTATTACGATAACACAATAACAAAATTTACTGGGCGATTCATTGTCTCAGAAATTATTGCAATAAACGATAATATTGTTTAAGAAGAAATGCTTGTTAATTTGTTTTGCGTGTTGTACCTTTTTTCGACCACCGGATGGCAGTATAAGACTGTCTGAACCGAAGGATAGAAAGTAAGGGAGTGAGCAGCGTGACTCTAACAAAATGGGAGGGAGGCTCCTTGACGTGACGTGCTGTCTCTCTTCGGTTCTCAAAATGGCGGACGCTCGGTGTGGTTTGAGCTCTTTAGCATAGCATTTCTCACACAAAGCTTTTAATTAAAAAAATCAGTAAACAAGTTCTCAGCTTCTTTTTGCAGATTTTTATTTTTTTTTTACACAAAGGCACAGGTTTCATTCGGAGTTCGGCAAGACATAATTTTTTTCCTGAGGTCGTTCTGTTAGCTTAGCTTGTAGCTTAGCTTCTTTTAATGATCCAAAAACGTGATTTTGGATGGTTAAAATGGATTTTAAAGAGAAAAGAGAAAAGAAGGGGTCAGTGAAGAGGGCCGGAGTTGAGCTTTTTGTCATACAGTCTTGTCTTCAGTAGAAAGAGAGATGAAGAAACGATAAAGCCGATAAATGAAAATGAGGTAGATAATTTTCCTTTATCATGCGATTAATATGTTTATCAGTATTTCCCCTACCATTATACAAGCGGTGCGCCCCGCCCCGTCAACAGAACCGAGCGCCCCGTCTACCGAACTGTCTACCCCACCCCCAACCACCCGTCGGCACTGACGTAACGTTAAACTAGCGGCTCGCAATGCAGGTGCACTAGCTAAAAAGCTAAAGGCAGCATCTTCCTTCATGCTGAACCATCACGTTGAACGCACCCCCGCCACTCGAAAACTGTCGGGACAAACAGCGCACGGCTCAGATGTGCTTCTGTCTCACCCCCCCCCCCCCACCCCCACGTTCAGACATTATTTTCTGGCCTAAAATTACTTAAATGAAAAATAAAAACCTCATTTAATGAAACTCTACTTACACTTTCTGTGTGAATTGGGTGTGCAGCAAAAAAGATGGCAGCAAGCAGAGAGGTCTTTGGAGCATGATTCAATGTCCGCCCCTTGTCATCATAATCCAGTCCACCGATGAGTATGGAAAACATGTCAATCATAAGGACAGATATGACAGCATGGAGGATGATGTTTAGTACATGGAAGCCAATGGGGTGCAGGCCTCCAGCTAAGAGGTAGTTTAATCTGCAACAGCAAGAGAAGAAAAATCCAAGGCAAAATGTTTATTAGGTGTAGCAAATATACAGTAAAGAAAATGTTGTTAGTTGGGTTAAGTAGAAATAGGAATGACACGACAAATATGCCACTGGGACTAGGTGGAAAATGTTGACCACTCATGGTGTAATACAGATCCATAACCACAATCACTGATACTGTTAAAATGTGGGATCTAGAGACACTGCAGAGTTTTGTGTTATATTAAAATAGAGAGCATATGTTTCCTCCACACAAAGACACTGACTAATCAAGGTAGATTCAGGTGCAAATATTCCCTGCAGCATGTCATGTAAAAAGCACATCAAGAGATTATATCACTACCAGAATGACAGTTTGGCAATAGGCGGCACTGTCAAAGAGCATGTGTGACATTGTGCCAGAAATATTCTTTAGTTAAGTCGTGCCATTAACCAATTAATCATAAACTAAACGCACTGACGTTTATAACGTGCTATTTTATGTTTGGCACCTGTCCCATGTCACAGAACTTCCTAAGGCTTTCTACATTACT